GTGAGATGGTGGGCACCGGCCCTCAAGGCAGGCTGAGCGAGCTGGCACGGTGCTCCGTGGTGAACTACGAGGGGGATGTCATCTATGACAAGTACATTCAGCCTGAGCTCCCCATCGTGGACTTCCGGACACGCTGGAGTGGCATCACCAAGCAGCACATGAAGAGGGCAATTCCCTTTAAGGCTGCCCAGGCAGAGGTGAGGGAAAAGAGAAATTAAAAACAAACAAGCAAACAAACAAAACCCAGTATGTTGTCTGCTAGGCACAAATAGGGTTTTTGGTGGCTCATGCTGAGCTGCTCTGAGGCAGAGACACAACCACAGGATGGAAAGCCTCTAAAGCTGTGCAGTAGGTTAGTTTGGTGGTTGTTGCTCCCTTCTGGTAACCTAAAAACTGGAAGTCAAGGAGCTTAATTTAATAAAAAATGGTTTCTTTTGTGCTTAATTGGTATTTCTTTCGCTGTGCTGCCTGTCTAACCCTTTCTGACTCTTCCAGATCCTGAAGATCTTGAAAGACAAGATTGTGGTAGGACACGCCATCCACAACGACTTCCAAGCCCTGAAGTACTTCCACCCGAAAGACAGGACTCGAGACACCAGCCAGATCCCTGTGCTGAAGCAGAGGGCAGGGCTGCCTGTCAGGGCCAACGTCTCGCTCAAGAACTTAGCCAGGCACCTGCTCCATAAAAGGATCCAGGTAAGCACCAGGAACCTTGAGATGGCAAGCAATTCATGAGTTAGCTACAAACGTGTGTGATTAGCCTGGTCCTCCTGCCTCCATGGGTGCTTTTTGTGAGATGGAAATGACACTTGGTCACCCTGTGCCTCTGGCTATAAATAAGCTGGGAGAGCCCAGGACCTCCCAAGCTGACCATTAAGCATCTGAGTAAAACATGGAAAGGACCTGTGCTCTCCAGAAAGTGTTGAAGAGATACCTGTGTCTCCTTGGTTGCATCAAACCTGTGCTGTCTGCAAAACCCACAGCATTTGTGTACTTCTGAGCAAGCAGACAACATGACCTGTGGGATGTTTGCTGCCCCTTTTATCTAACTGGGGCTTTTTTCCCTTTGCTCAGGTTGGCTGCAAAGGACACTCATCGGTGGAAGATGCTCAAACAGCCATGGAGCTGTACAGACTGGTGGAGGTGCAGTGGGAGAAGGAGCTGGCCCGTAGCCTGCCCCCCCGGCCCCCCAGCCCTGTCACAGACCCCACTGCAGACAGCAGCCACTACTTGGATGACCAGTACTGGCCCACAGACCTGATATCAAACAGCCTGTGATGGGGGACAGTGTCTCTTCCACGTGTTTCGGGCTATCCTGGTGCCTTCAGCTCTGAAAGGTGGAGGTGACCGCTGACCTCCTTCCCCAGGGGTTGTACTCCACGGGCTCTGCCCACTACCCAGCCCTGCCAGGGATGGAGACACGGTGACCCCTGAACAGCAGCAATCTCCCAGAAACGCTGTCTGCAGCCTCTGGCTCGTGCACAGAAATCAGGGCTGTGGCTGTGCCTGCGCTGTGTTCATCTGTCACTTTGGGATGAGTAGGGTCCTAGTGTCAGCCATGGGCATGTGATGGGGGTACCAGGACATCTTCCATGCCTTCCATTGGGTTGTCCCTGTCCCAGATGGAAGTGACAGGTTTTCCTGTGGAAGGACTGAGGTGTTTTGCTGATGCCCAAAGGCGCAAACCATCCAGGGCCAGTAAACAACCCATTTCCTCCTCACTTTCTTTCATAGAACCATAAAAAATGCTGAGTTGGAAGGATTATGTCAGGATCACAGAGTCCAACTCCTGGCCCTGCACAGGACACCCCAAGAGTCCTGCCATGTGCCTGAGAGCGTTGTCCAAAGACTTCTTGAACTCAGACAGGCTTGGTGCTATGAACAGCTCTGTGAGGAGCCTGTTCAGTGCTCAGCCATCCTCTGGGTGAGAAACCTTTTCCTGATATCCTGCCTAAACCTCCTCTGACTCAGCTTCATGCCATTTCCTTGAGTCCTGCCGCTGGTCACAAGAGAGAGGTTGGTGCCTGCCCCTCCCTTCCCCTCATGAGGATGTTGAAGATTGCAGTGAGGTCTCCCCTCAGTCACTTCTAGGCTGAACAAACCAAGTGACCTCAGGCACTCCTCATAAGACTTCTCTTCCAGTCTCTTCACCATCCTCATGGCCCTCCTTTGGATGCTGTCTGACAGCTTAAGGTCTTTTTTAATGTTGTGGTGCCCAAAACTGCACACAATACTCAAGGTGAGGCCACACCAGTGTAAAGCAGAGAGGGACAATCCCCTCACTTAGTATTCCTTCAAGTCCTGTGCCTCAGTCATTAATGAAGATGTTGAAGAGAACTGGCCCAAGGATGGAGCCCTGTGTAATCCCACTAGTGACAGGTCTGATGTCACCTCATTCACTCCTTGCGCGTGACCTGTGAACCAGTTGCTGACCCATCATGTAACACGGCTACCCACCTGTGTGCTGGACATTTTGTCCAGAAAGATACTGTGAGAGACAGTACCAAAAGCTTTACTGAACTCCAAAAAGATAATGTCTACTGGCTTCCCTTGATCAACCAGGTGGGTTACCCTGTCATAGAAGGAAATCAGGTTTGATAAGCAGGACTTTCCTGTCATGAAGCCGTGCTAGCTATGCTTGATGACTGTGTTGTTCTCCAGGTGTTTTTCAATACCTCCTCGAATAATCTTTTCCGTGATTTTACCAGGCACTGAAGTGAGACTGATAGGTCTGTAGCTTCCAGGGTCCTCCTTCTTGCCCTTCTTGAAAATTGGAACAACATTTACCAGCTTCCAGTCAGCTGGGACCTCTCCAGATTCCCAGGAGTACCCAAAAATCATTGGTAGAGGCTTTGTGATGGCATCAGTTAGCTCTTGGAGGATTCTTGGATGAATCCTACCACACTCGATAGATCTGTAGGGATCCAGCTGCACAAGGAAGCCTGGATCTAATCAGTGTCCAGCATGGACAAGAGGATAGAATGCACTTCATTTAAAATAAATTACTGACACAATTGTCCAATTCTGTATTAAAAACTGCTGTTGCTAAACCCTTGTGTACATTTTGCATGATTTGATCTGGCAGTTCTACAAGAGCAAGAGGGTGGGGTGAGATTGACCTGAGTACCAGGCCATGCTCTAGGCCTTAAAACCCACCTGCAACTGGAAAAGGTGCTTTGAGTGGCCTGACAGTGGCTGGAGTAGGTAGTTCCTTGGGGTACAGGCTTGTCCTCTCTGCTCTGGGGACATCCCTGTGAAGGCAGGAGAAGCAGGAGATGGGCTCAGCTGGAGCCCTGCAATCCAGCGCTTCCAGCTGCTTGGAGAAAGCTCAGTGCAAGAGCATCCTGCTGTGTCACCCTGCAGCAGCTGGGCTGTCCCAGCTCGGGAAGCTCCCTCTGTTAAGGAGAGGCATTGTTGGGATTTGCCCACCTCACAGGTCAATGTTCCTTCCCCCAGCATCTGTGAGTGAGAGCTGTGCTGCTTCTGCGCGGTGAGAATGTTGGTGAACTGTGGCACGGGCTGCTCTGATGGTGTGGGGACAGGGTGATGCTCACCTGCAGTGACTTTGCCTGTAGGTGACATATGTGGCTGCAGAGATGTGCCCCAGCTGGGTGTGGGAGCACCAGAGAGGGTTTGGGGGCTGGACAATGGGGAATTGTGTTCTTCCCCAGGGAACTGAACAGCCATGGTTATAGAAAACTGATATTTTTTTTGCCGTGTGCCTCGAGGTCAGCCCTCAGCAGCCCTTTAGCACAGCCCCACTGCCTGGGCTGTGAGACAGGAGGTGGCAGAGGGGGCTGGAGGGCTGCCAGCACTCTGGGGACTTTGAGGAGCCTGGTGCAGTACACTGAGATACAGCTGCCAGCACTGGAATGGAGCCCAAGACCCCCTCAGCCAGGCTAGATCATCTCAGGCTTTTCCCAGCAGCCTGTAGGAGGTAAGGAGAGCTCAGCCCCAGCCTTGGGAGGTGGCCAAGGCAGCCGGGTGACGCAGGCACACCTGACGCACACATCAGTGCCTTTAACAGGCACATCTTGCACTTCCCTTCTTAACTCCTCCCTGCCTGGTAGAAGAAGCCAGGAACAGCTCAGAAATGCTTTGAAACGTGTCTGACACATCCAAAAAAATCTTGGTCCTCACAGTGGCCCAAACACAACCGTCCTTCAACAGATATAATAACCTGGGCTCTGCCGTGAACGCGTGGTCTGGGCACTCTCCACTAGACCTGGTAGGATACACGGCCTCACAGTAGGTCTTTGATTCCTACTTGTTCCAGTTTCTCCCAGGTGTGTGCACCATTTTCTGTGCCAGCCTTGGGGTGCAGCTCAGCTGAGCCCCAGCACAATGCCATGCAATGTCAGCAGGACCTGGCAAGGTATGGCAGGGACTGAGCCCCACGGGGCACAGAGAGAGGTGCAGGAGGAGCACAGCTGGGGCAGGTTTTTCTGTTTCTTCCTCTGTAATTTCCACCTCTCCCGGTGGGATGGGAGGGAATCAAGGATGTAGGAAAGGTGAAAGCTCAGTGAGCCTGCATACAACTGTCAGATGATGGTGGCATTCCAAAGGCAATGCAGCAGCACTGTCTTCTGCTCCTGGAAAAGAACACCCAGAGGAAAGACACAGCAGAGGGATGCTTTGCTTATGGCTGTATAACCTGACCCACGTAACTGCGTCCCCTCGGTGGGCGCTTGAGTTCATGGGGAACCCCACAGCTCCAAACTTGTTTGTCCACCTGAGTGGACAAATTTGTTGCCCCTCCAGCCCCCTATCTCACCACCCCATAGCACTGACTTGCCTGTGATGGTTGATGGAAGACACAGGTATGTTGGGATGAAGCTGGAAAAAGCTGCCAAAGGAGGTGTAAGGCTATAAGGCTTTACCAGCCTGTGACTCAGCCTGCCTTGCTGTCAGCCTAAGGCATAATTAAGATAAAAACCCTCCACTTCTGAAGTCTTGATCATTCAAACATTTCAGTGAGACCCTCTTTCAAGAGTAAGCCTGGTTTGGGCTCCAGGCAAGGGACAGATTTCTCTAAGCACTCATCTATGGTAGTCCAGGGCAGGTTCTTCCTTGCCTGCCCTCCCAGCAGCACAGCACAGCCCTGGGGTTGCACAGTGGCACAAAGCACCGAGAGCTTGTCCCCATTGCCACTTCACTTGTTTAACCCTCCTGCTGAATTCCCTCCCTGCTTTGGGAGCAAATCTGGGGGCAGCAAGGCAGGCAAAGACCAGCTGCTCTTTGGTGCTGACATGCCCTGCGAGCTTTGCCACAATCTCCAGCACTCAGGGAGGGTGAGAAACAAATTTGGAGGTTAATCCCTATTTGCATCAGATTTGAAGGGCTTGGAAAACCCCAACATTGAGCTGCAGCTCCCCAGCCCCCCAAAAACTGCTGCTGAGCAAACCCCACATGGATGATTAGGGGTGGTGGCAATCTGCTCCCTGACAACGATGTTTGCTCTGAATAATCTAAATGGTGACATGCGGCCCATTTTCACCCCCTGAGAGCTAATCAGGATTTTCACAGGTGTTTGTGAATATTCACTAACATGCCAGCTCGGAGTTGCCATGGCTGAACACACTTGGGCTCCTCACACGCTCCGGCTCATCCCACAAGTGGCCCCGCTGGTGCTCATGTCAGGAGGCTGAGCATCTTTAGGCGGGTGAAGGAGAGTTGGGGCTGTCTCGCAATTTACGCTAAATTTTGTGATAATTGAAGAATCTGCAGAAAACTCAGCCATTATCTCAACAACTCTGAACAATGATTAACCCAAACCCATGAATCCAGCACTGGGCTTTTTTATCAGAGGGAAAACGTTGTCAAATGAGGTTTTTTCCAGCCAGCTGCGAGTGCAGGTAACCGATAAGCCCGTCATTGGAGTGGGGCTGAGCCAATGGGAGCTGATGGTGACGGCTTTTACTTCTGTCTAGCAACAGCTTCTCCTTGAGCAGCAGACACAATCCAATTCTTTCTGTTGCTTCTATTGAGCTTCCCTCCTACTGCATGGGGGTTTTCATGGGGAACACTAAGAAACTGAGTTTCATGTGCATTGCTTGGTTTTTCTGCATGTTCTGGTGTCTATTCCTATCCTGCATGGTGAGAGCTTTGCAGCTGTGAAAGGCTCCATCCTGCTCACATCCTGGGCTCTGCTCACACCCTGCCTTGTCCATGCACCAGAGCTCTGTTGGGTGTGTGTTGGACACCCACAGGGTCCTTGGAATAGCACCATAGCAGAATAGCAGCTGTACTGGGAGTCCCTGTGTCAGGGATCTGTCTGATCAGAGGTCACCCTGCATCGCTAATGCCTGACCATGGTTCAGCACCTCTCCCAGCTGCCAGGGGCTGTTTGCATGGGGACCATGGCTGGGAGCAGCATCCCCTGATCAAATACCTGGTTAGCTTTGCTGCTGGCTCTGCTTATCGTGGTACGTGTGGTCAAAATGCCACATAAACTCCAAATCGCAACATCATGTAATATCCCGAGTTGGAGGGAACCAACCAACACCTGGCTATACAGGATAACCCTGAAAATCACAACATGAGCGTCTTGGGGAGG